AAGGGAACTGTGGTTTGTTGGTATGGAGATACCAGGGGAATGGTAGAATAGAAAAAGAAAAAAAATTGGAGAAATTACAAAGTAAGAAGAATCGATCATTAAAATGAAAGGATTGGCGTAAATCAGCTGGGAGGGCGGGGCTTCTGGTGGTTATTGGCAGATTGGGCATCCTATCAAAAAGTCTTGGATGTATTAAAGTGATGTTATTATTATTGTTTTTAATAATTGTATATTTGTTTAAAAGAGAGTTAAAGGAGGTTATAGATATGTTATTTTAATAGTTGATTAATGTTAGTTAGATTATGATTATTTTATTGTTAACTCTGTGATTGGCACTGGGAAGGGAGGGGGGAGGGAGGGGGGAGTGGAAGAGTGGGTTGGGGAAGGGGGGATTTATATTGTAAAATTTTATAAAATTTTCAATTAAAAAAAAAAAGTCTTGGATGTCAGTTGGAAAATCTGGACATTGATAACTTTTCCATCGGTCAATTACAAAAGGCCACACGGCTTGCATCTGCAGGACCTTGGCCACTTTTAAGACCTGTGGACTTCAACTCCCAGAATTCCCCAGCCAGCCAAGGGGAATTCTGGGAGTTGAAGTCCACTGGTCTTAAAGTGGCCAAGATTGGATACCTCTTTTTAAAGACACTTTTGGTTCTTAGGAAGAACTGGATGCGAATAAAAGTCAACCCCAGTAAGGAACTGGCAGCTGTGATTTCACATTGTTGTGTGTACACAAAAAGTTAGGGTGGGCCAAGGTGACTGATGGCGGGTGGGCAGAGAGAGAGATCTACCAGTTGGATAGCTGCCTGCTGGCTGATACAGAGATACAGAAGGGGGAAAGGCAGATTTCCAGACACAATTTAAAATCTCAAGTTTGGAGTTGGGAGAATTGATGAAAGTGTTTCCTTGCTTCCTCCCTCCTTCCTTCCTTCCCATTTCCTTTCTTCTTTCCTTCCTTCCTTCCTCCCCATTTCCTTCCTTCTTTCCTTCCTTCCTTGCTCCCCATTTCTTTCCTTCTTTCCTTCCTTCCTTCCTCCCCATTTCCTTCCTTCTTTCCTTCCTTCCTTGCTCCCCATTTCTTTCCTTCTTTCCTTCTTTCTTTCCTTCCCACTTCCTTCCTTCCTTCTCCTCATTCCCATTTCCTTCCTTCTTTCCTTCCTTCTCCTCATTCCCATTTCCTTCCTTCCTTCCTTCCTTCCTTCCTTCCTT